ATTTAGCCACCTAATTCAAGATCACAATCTTGGGAAACCTGATATATAAATTCAAAATTACTCTTTGAATTACTCTATGGATCCCTGAGATGAGTGGGAGTGAGAATTCCAATTCCATCTGCTTTTACATCGTTTAAACACATTTGTCTGCTTCAGGAGAAGTTTCCTGCGCTGGGATCTGAGAGAAAGCTGCAGCCTCAGGTCTGGGCCTAACTCCTCCCTATTCTCTCTCTCTCTGTCTCTCTCTCCCTTCACCTTCCCCAGCCACTTACAACCAAAAATAAACACTCAAATTGGCAGTATAGAACTCATCAATCTCTAGCCCTTGCGAATTTAAGACAATCAAAAAAAAAAAAAAGATGGCAAAAAAAAAAAAAAAAAAAAATCTGTGCTTTGCAAACAAGGCCCGAGCTAGGTGTGCAAATAAACATTCTTTTTACTGCTATGACTCTGGGTCCTTCAGAATAGTTTGCCACCATGGCTACAACACAAGGCTCTCACAACAGGAGCCGGAGCACACGCCCACAGCAGAAAGGCTCCCTCACTTCACACTGGACACTGTGGTACTCAGCTAACTTTGCCCAAAAGCCGATTTCATCAAAATTATGCTCTAACACAACACATCAGCCATGTAAACTCAGCCAACTGCAAACTGCATGCAAGTTTGTCTGGTCATTTAATTTCAGTTAAGCTGGGACTACTACACTTAAACACTGTGTGTGTGTGTGTGTGTGTGTGTGTGTGTGTGTGTGTGTGTGTGTGTGTACAGAGAACTGAGTATTTGCTATAGAGGGAAGAGAGGTGATATTTTAATGCCTCTGATAGGAAATTTCTTTCCCACTGTACCTTAGAGGGTGAGTCAAATGAGTAGAGGGAGAATATGTAAATTGTGTTTCTTGAATGAGCCTGTTCAATGCTAACTGAAATATTCACTGATGACATTTGAAACCCATCTCTCCCGACAGAACTTTCCCACTACCAGTCAATTATTCACTGGTAAACATAAACTGTGTTTACCTACTTCTGTTCTACATTTCAAACTGGACAACACCAGCCGAAACCTGCAAACTTGCAACAAAAACCAGAGAGGTTGGCATTAAAAAAAAAAAAAGAAAATACAAAGAGCTAAACATTTTCAAAACATTTGATTCTTATAACTCAACAGTGTTTGCAAAGCAAATGAAACATAGTTCTTGAGGCTGGAGCTTGGCGTGTTTTGTCTCGATCCCTAGATGAATCAAGAAAACAGGTACTAGCCTATGAGTGTAGAACCTACAAGCATGGTGTCTTAGAAGAATTTGGCAGCAGACTTCAGAAGAAACTTAATATTCTCTGCCTCTCCATTATATTCCCTCCTTGTTTGTACTTAAGAAGAAGCTATGTTTTTTTACAAAGGAGATTTTTCTGGTTTTTTTTTTTTTTTCTTTGCCACGTGATATAGACAAGTGGTGGCAGGAAGTTTAATAATTGGCTCTGAGTCAGACAAGGCAACCCAGTTGAGCGCCAAACCAAATATCAAATTCAGTAAATTCGGCCAAAGCCAACTCTAAACTATATGTAAGTCTTGCTGGTCATTTAATTAATTTAAATTGAGCTGAGATTATTTGCATTTGGCTTCTGGGAAGTCACTTAAACATCTATCATGGTGTGTGTGTGTGTGTGCGCGTGTGCGCGCGTGTGTGTGTGTGCGTGTGTGTGTGTGCGCGTGCATGCGGTGCGTGCGTGTGTGTGTGCGCGTGCATGTGTGCGTGCGTGTGTGTGCGTGCGTGTGTGTGTGTGTGTGTGTGTGTGTGTGTGCATGCGTGCATGCATGTGTGGTACAAAGGGCTGAAATATTTGCTAAGGATTGAAGGGAGGTGTTATTTTAGTGGCTACTTTTAATGAATTTCTTTCTTTCCTTCCTAATCCTCTAATTCATTAATAAGCACTTCAGGTTTCAAACTAAATCATATCTCAAAGGAGGGATGGGAAGAAGATCTGTAACAACTATGTTCCAGGGAAGCTTGCCAGATGTTAATAAATTTACTAATTTTAACCACAATTCCTGTGGTGGTGGCTGAGAGAGATGAACAAGAATATGATGGAACAGAAAAGGAACGCGATCATGTGATTCACACACAATAACCTAGAATTATTTTTATACATCTGGGTGTAAAGCCATATAACAGAACTTGAGGAAAATTCAGGTCTATAATATTAAGCTTTATGCTAAAAAAGTGCTCTAAATTTTCCATTACACTGACAAAAATATTCCTTTGGGGCTCTGAATAATTTATAGTGAGACCCTCTAGCTTAGCTTCTGATCCTACTGCATTCCACCATAGCCTTTGTAAGCACATTGACTGATAAAAACACCGGAAGAGAAGACACCATGGATAGTTATGTACACCTTTGAAATTGTACCTTGAAAGTTCATTTCCAAGGTCTAACACCATCAAAATGTTGTGGTGTCTTTGCCATTGAGACAGGATCCCCTGTAGTCCTTGCTGGCCTTCAACTCACTGCCATGGCTGAAGATGGCTTAAACTCCTGATTGATCCTCCTGACTCCAACTTCATAGTACTAGGGTTGTAGTGCCTCATCAGCGTCTGCACAATTAACTTTCTTTTTTTAAGGACAAGAAACTACTTCTAAGAGCCAGGGGTAGTGGCACATTCCTTCAATTCCAGCAAATGAAGGAGGCAAAGAAGTAGAATTATCGCTGAGTTCAAGGTCAGCCTGGTCTACATAATGACTTCCTGAACAGCTAAAGCTACATAGTGAAACTGTCTCAGAAAACCAAAGAAACAGAAAGGAGGGAGGAAGGGAGGAAGGGAGGAATGAAGAAAGAAAAAGAAAAGAACTTACTTTTTTTTTTCTTTTGAGACAGGGTTTCTCTGTAGCTTTGGAGGCTGTCCTGGAACTAGCTCTTGCAGACCAGGCTGGCCTCGAACTCAAGAAATTACTTTCTATGTGTCTCACATACTGAATGCTTTGAGCAATTACAAAACTGATCTAGAATATTTATTTATCTGAAGGTAACTTTAATTGTATAGAAACATTACAAAATATATTTTATTCCTGAAAATAGACATGATAGCAAGGTAAGAAATATAAACATTTAGAAATATATTGGTCCTCTACGTTTTCTTTAAAATCAGGCCACATCTCATCCACACAAAACCATCTAAGGAAGCGCCTCACACAAACAGACACTCTGCTAAACAGTGGGTGACTCCTGTTTGGAGGAGGTGGCTTGTCAGTAATGTGGTGGAAAGATGAAAATGTCTTACTCCTATGTCACTATGTCATATTCAAAATGTTATTATCTTATAATCCTTCCTTGTCATGTCTATTGGTAAATGGTTTAATGGACTTAGTCTTCCTCGTTTAAGTGGCTATCTTTTTGAGCTTGACAGTGTTGGGTTTGATGCAGGGCCTCTCACTGGCTGCCCAGCACCCTGACAATCCCCTGGGCCCAGCTGAGGAGGACCCTGTGGTAGAGTGTATAAATGTCTCCAGACCTTGTCTGTGCTAATGGGCTCCCACCTGAAGACATTCAAAGAAGAGGTGAACCAGGACTGATCAATTGCTTTTACTGTTCAAGCTCTATACACTCTACTTAGACATTAAACTTGCCTTTGTGTAAACTTCGGCTTGATTAATGATTGACGTGACTGGAAGTTTCCAATGGAAAGTTGCTTTATCCAGAGATTAACCGTGTTGCTATATCAGCACAAAGTTTCTACTTTTTACAACAGCCATTCTCCACAAGCACTGCACAGGAATATATTTACTTGTCAGGAAAGCCACAGAACAGTTGTGCATAAAATTAATTACTACTGGTAGAAAAATCAAGACACCTTATATCTAAGGTAATTAATTTTGTGCTTTATCTGTTATGGATTAAATAGCTTTACAAGTTTTAAAAGGCTTTCCCAGATACATACTCGAATACCATGTCAAAATGATAATAATTATACATAACTTAATTATGCTTATTTTTTAAAAAACCTGAGATAAAAGATCATTATGATTGGAGAACTCATGGATAAGGGTTTGTCTATGAATGGAATCCTAGCATGGATAATCTATTGAACTAATAAAACTTATTTCATGAATCCATCAACACTTTATGGCTTAGTAACAAATAAGCAACAATATCAGTGAACATTTTTCCATAGACCCAGTTGAAATAAATGCAATGAATTTATACATCTGACTTATAAAAATATGCATAGCACCTAAGTAGCTGTGCATAACAGACAGTAATATGTACATATAACCTTCTATGTATAGACTGAAATATGCATGGATTGAAGTAGATGTTTCTATTTACATGCAGCTCACATAAGCATTCATATGTACTAATTATATTAAAATAATTATGATACTATGTTTAAAGTATACTACTCAATCTTCAAGAAAGTGGCTAAACGCTATGCATACTTGCCAAATAGGCTTGCATACTTTATAGGTATTAAGTTTTAGGTTCTTCTTGTTTATACTGCAGTGGCCAAAGCCACAGGAATATTAGACACAAAAACTGCTTTGCTGATCTGATCTAATCCAGTTTGATGTTGACATTTTTCAAAATCTGGTTGTATTTGCTAACAAAATGGAAAATAAAATGAAATCATTCCAAATTTTCAGTAGTCATACAGAAAAATGATGTAAAATAATATGGTGATGAGGACATGTAATCAACACAAAGAAATATATTCCAAGTTAAAAGCATTTTGTGTATCCACATGCATATACTTCAGTACGTACACACAACACACACACACACACACACACACACACACACACACACACACACACACACACAAATATAAATCCAGCCTATGGAATGTGATAATCCAGTAATATGCAACTCCCAATTAAGGGGGAACATGGATTAATTCAAACTACTTTGAAACAGAGGAACAGTTTGGTGGCTCTGAGGGCAGAGTTCAGGAGCGGTCAAGAGGTACACAGTGATGAAGAGACAAGGCAAAGTAAGAGAGACAGACACTCACCTTCCGTGCCATTGGGAGTCATGGAAGTGCTATTTATATGAGAACTATCGAGTTTGGGACCACTGGGGGACTCACTATTACCACTCAGTCGGTTATGCGGGCTGGTTAGATCCTGCATTTCCATAGACCTAAAGACAAGAAGCCTTCCGTTTGACAGATGTACCAAATTCATAACGGCACCATTTAATGTGGTAACGACTTGACACCTTCTTTGAAACACACACACACACACAAAAGTCCCATTGTATCTGTTCTCTTAGACTGGAAACGGTTCAGTTTGCATCTGTCTTTAGGCCTTTCATCACATGTATTACTGAAAGGCAATGCTCGCCCTGTGCAGCCAGTGTTCACCTGCAGCTTTTAAAATCTCCCCCTTTCTTGTATAATTAAAGTCATAAGCTAATGTGGGACAACGGCATCTGTTGTACGTTCAGAAGAAAACATGGCAGTTGTTTTTATATTAAAACAATCCCCCCGGAGTATGACTTTGCTAAAAAGAAGAGGGAGATACATAAACACGTGGAAAAGAAATAAGTCACTATTCTGTGCAATCTGTTTCATCTAATAAATTAACACTAGAGACTCCCTTTAAAATTTAACACCCAATTGTTATTTGATGGGTTCCAAACCAAATAAAGCGCTCGAAACCTCCAGTCCAGTGACAGGGAGCCTGTCCTGATGCACATGTTTACTCTGGCAGACCACTTAATTGTTCCTGTTTCCCTTGAAACAAATGCAGCATTAAAACATCACGGTGTCCGCCCACTTGTTTGCTTTGTGGATTACATACACCATAGCCAACTGAAAAAGGATAAGGCCAAACACAGAGGGGTCTGTGGGACCATTAGCCCTCACAGCACCCCAGCCGTCACTTAGGGGAAGAAAGAAAATTCTATGCAGTGCTATAATTTTTCATTTTCACCATATAAAAAAGCAGTTCAATGCCTCCCAGATGGCCTTAGGAACGACAGTTACTCCTGCTGTAGGAGGCACAGCAGCCACGACTCACGGTGGCAATTTCAGAACTAGACCCTGCTTCTATCTCCCACTCTTATTCCTGAACAGAGGCCTTATTTAAAGTCACAAATTAGATGCTTACATACAGCTTCATTTCCTGACAGCACACATTGTCAAGCCTAATGTGTACTTGCTATGTTTTAAACATTCTACTTTTTTTTTTTTGTCTCACAACTAATAATGGGGGGGGTTAATTTACAAATAGAATGTTCACACTTGCTCCTCACCTTACCTGGGGTCATTTTAATGTGTAGGCTACACTGAAATTGACTGTTGGCTATCAGCTGTAGAACAGCTCCACACGAGCTACTCTATCTCCTCGAATAGCTGAATTCAAACAAGAAATAACTTCAAATCCAGTTATTCCTAATTATCATTCCTCATACAGTTTTCCTAAAACAGACAGCAATGACCTCACACCAAGTCTCTTATGCCTTTCCCACATACTTATACTTTTAGAAGTGCACTCATATACACATGCACATATACATACAACACACACACAAAAAAATTGTTAAGTCATTTCCACCCCAGGCTGTTGCTATTAATAGAAATAATTAAGAAATACTAGACAAAAATAGATCCGGGTCACAGAAAGGTAAGCTACAGAAATGTTGAGTATCAACGAAATCCTTACCTGCGACTGGAGGAAAACGCAACATCGGAACTGGTGTGAGATGTTTGCACCTGTGGCCAGGGTAGAAAATCAGAAGTGGTTATTAACTGTGCTTCGGGGTCAGTCAGCTCTTAATTACAGAGAGCACATGGCTGAGCCCCACAGTGCTCACTTTTAACCAAAAGAGAAAAGGGAGGCTAGGGCAGCCGGGAAAGGCATAGTGTCTTTAAGTGGAGGGCTCAACTGCTGTTCTTTCCTGCAGGTCTGTCCTCCTCCACTTGACAGGAGGGGAAGGCAGTCAAATGACGGGGCTAGTGATTCATCACTAGCCTATGACAGCTGCAAACGGGATTACCCCTCCCCCAATCAACATGCAAAGCAGTCCTCGCCCCAGAGCTTGGAAAAGATGCTTGGGAAGAAGAAGAAGAAGAAGAAGAAGAAGAAGAAGAAGAAGAAAAGAAAGCTATTAACAAATGAGTATGTTTAACAGCAGCAGTAGTTGAGGCAATAATCTCTCAGCATCGTCAGATCTTTGATCTTCTGTTCTAGCCAGCTGGACTAGAGCGCCCGCCCACCCTCTTAGCTCCTGACCATTCCCTAGCCTTATCGGGATGGTTTTCACCCAGTTACTATTTGTCACTTAAGATTCATTGAAACAGCTTCAGGCAATGCCTTGCTCCAGAAATAAGGCAAAGGCAGGCTTTCGTACCAAAGTCCCAGCGCTGAGCACTATACTTGTTTAACTATGCCAGGTAAAACCCAATAAGTATTTCTACAGCTATGCTGGACAATATGAAAGAAAGTGTGTGTGTGTGTGTGTGTGATCTTTTAGAGTGAAGTACAATGCACATTTGAGTACTCTAATTCACCAACCCAGACAGCCTGAATGTTCAGTTTGTTTCCAGATAAACGAGTTGGGAAATTTCACCACTCAGTTTCACTAATTCAAAGTTGGACTAGCCTTGCCCTTCAGAGGCAGTTGGAGGGGCCAGCATCAGGTAATGAGGTTCAGGTGAGCCGGCTCCTGCTGGCTTACAAGCTCCCACCAGGGCTTGGGCAGGCAGAAAGGAGCACTCTAACTTTTAAAATGGCACGGAATTCCAAATCTTTGATGTGCATTTTCATTCAACCTGAACTGACATCAACAAAGATGAGAGCTGAGCGTCTCAAATGACATTAAAGTTATCCACCTAAGCATCTTCTGTTGAGTCCTGCTGGCTTTTAATTATGATTTATGAAATTAAGAAACACGACCTTTCTAGCAAGAATAAAGCATCATTACGGTCTAAATGTCTTGGGATAATGTTACGTGGGACTTCTATGTATGGATTTTTTTTTTTAATGTTCAGGACAAACAATTTTTAAGATGTTTGGGTAACTGAAGTTACTAATAATTTTAATGCCTGCAGATGTCCATTATTTGATAACAAGTTTAAAAGGTTTTTTTTTTCATTACTAATGTTCTCACGGAAGATTAAATGGTTTCCTTTAGAAACTGCAGCAATATATCTCAAGGATAAAATTCCCCTTATTATACACCTGGAATAAATTATAGGTGAGAACGGACTTCATTTTAAGAACTCTCTTGGCTTAATTACATGAGTACGTTAAAGCATATTTACTGTGCAATGCTAAAATACATCCCCGTTGTAAAATCAGCTAAAAAATGTAATCTCAGAAACAGAATTTTTATTTCATTGTATACTTTGAAAGCCTCATTGTCTTTATATTTAAAGTTTAAAATCTGCCGTTTCTCAGTTTTGCTTTTTGAAAAATCAAAGTTGGTGATAATAATTAAAAAAAAAAAAAAGAACCTACAAGTAAGAATTATTCTAACGCATTTCCTTATTGGGGAAAAAATGCTATTTAGCAATGTATTTCCTTTCTGTTGGCAGCCCAGTTTCTACTGTACTTTCAGAGAGCAGTTTTTGCAAGCCCGTACCCACGATCTTCCATTCATTAAGTGTACTTCAGATATATTCTTTTGTGTCTCAAGGATTATTTAAACCATGTGTTGTGTGTTACTGTATTTAAAAATGACTCTTTAATCAAAATAACTTTAAAACAACTAATCCTCACTTAGGCTGGTCAGCTGAACCCACATCGTGGTCCAGGAAAAATAAATCTACTCTCAAGAATGTGAATGCAGACAACAATTAGACACAGATGTGAGTGAAATTAGTTACAGTTTACAAAATGCTACACTTCACATGCTTTTAGTTTTTTATGTGCAGTGCAAGATTACATTGCAGTAGGGAACACCCTTACTCCCTCACTGGCTTATCTAAAAAGGACACCTATTTCTGATGGCTGACAATTTCCTCTCATGCTTGACAATGTCTATGGAAGTGGTTTGCTGTTGTTGGTGTGTGTGTGTGTGTGTGTGTGTGTGTGTGTGTGTGTGTGTGTTTAAAGCTCTAAAACCACAGTGTGTTTCAAAAATAATTAATGAAAGCTTATTTTCATTCAAAAGAAGCAGGAGTTGGGGGCTTCTAAAAACGTTCTGCTAGGAGGCAGTATGTTTTCTTGATCTGTAAAGTTAATATAATTCTAATCTGCTATTTTAATTTCAATACTCTCCAGGGTACAAAATTAGTACTCATTATATTATGAATGATCATAGTACAACAAAGTCATTCCTTTTAATGACCTTTAAAAACTCTGCATATAATACACACAGTTGTAGCATATTGCCAGACTTGTGAAAAGAAAAAGGGAAAAGATAACAGAGTTCCTTAGAATTTAAATTCAAGACTCCTACATTGGTAACCATGACTTCTGATTAGTTAATGAGGCCTTTCAACTTTGCCTTTTTTTCTAATTAAATTTATAATTCTTCACAGATGTAACTTTTGTTGATGTTCAATTTGTCTCTCTCATTTTGTTAAACCTCACATAGTACTTCGTCAATCCATTGAATAGCCACATTAAATCTGTTAATACCATGCTCTTCAACCCTAGAAATTATTTCCAGAAGGGAACCGTGCTTTGAGAGATCATCAAACAAGACTTAAGGTACACATTTTATCACATTTTCCCTACCACGGAGCTCAGAATACAGAGCAAAATTCATGACTTTTGCACTGTTTATTATACTTTGCTAAATTACCAATCAAAAGCATCTGACAGAAGATCATGTCTGAAGCCAGAAAGTTAATAATGTTCTGTGAAAAGTAAACTATAAATGGAAAGAGGTTCTGAATGTCAGCAGCGCAGAGCAAATAAAATGTAGGTACTTGTCTAAATTATGGGTTTTCCGTGGGCTTTTTCGCTTGCTAGAAGCAATTTTTATAAAATGACTATAATTTAAAACTTTTTTTTTTCTTTTTCCTTCTCAAATCCAAAAGAAATTTTCAAAGTGAAAGTTCTGAACTTAGAGCTAAGTAGAGCTGGCAGGCAAGCTGGTTTTGTCTGACACTGATCAACCTGTGTGCGCCCCAATTTGAAAGACAATGGCAATTTACTAACCAGAGTGCTTTTTATTGGGGGGGGGGAGCGCCTTGGTAAGACTGCTTCTTAAGCAGAATATAGTCTTGCTATGTTTCTCTTCTATGCATATTTCCAGCCTGGGTGCTGCAGCACAAACCTCAGGTCTTCAA